ATTATAAAGTTTCATCAAAATCCGTTCAGGAGTTTTTGCGTGAAAGAGTAACAAATATCCAAACATCTAGACATCCAAACTTACGCATTTATATAGTAGGAAATTTATAATAAGTATTAGTAGAATGTTCCATCATAATTTTTTGCTCTATGATCGATGCACGTGTCGTTAGGCCCGGTTTCCACCAAGAAATTAGGCGAAAATGTCCAACCAATCAAACTCCCTGGTTGCCTGATCAGCTAGACAAAGTGCTTAATATAGTCGCAAACCAGTCGAAATTAAAAGTGGTCGATAGGCCTTTTTTGTATGGAGTTTTGACGAATTCGATTATCGATTCATCAAAAAGTGCAACTTGTTTAGGGGGGCTGCTGATTACTCCAGAACCTTGCTGCCCCATCGGCTGTCAATTCTGTTGCCTATACTCAGCGCATTAGTAGCTGAGTTCGAAACGCAAACAATGTAAATTGTTTACATGATGACGTCGCTGCTGTTATCATTGCTGATAACACACGAGCAATGTGTCTGTTTTTGGGCATATTGCTGCGACACCGGCCCCGCCCCCTTGTCACATCTCCCTTTAGTTTCTGTGATCTGTGGTAGGTACACTTCAGGTATCAGCGACTTCGTTTACGGATCCTCATTTCTGATCACTTCTAATCAAAAGTATCCTAAGCTAACTGTCTTGTTTATGAAGGTTATTCTGTGTGTATGGTGGCATTATTTCGTCTGGCCAAAATCTTCGACTCTGATGTCATACATACATGCAAAATGCTCCGGTATGACCCTGACTTAGTGTTAGTACCTATTGCTAACCTCAGTGCCGTATTATCCTTAAGGCACTTTAGGCCAGTGCCTAGGGGCCCACTATGACCAGGGGCCCAGCACTCCCGATTAAAAAATGAAAAAAAAAAAATGTTAAAGATTATTTTTATTCAACAAAATTTAAACCACCTCAAAACTTCGCCTTATTTTGGTTTACACATTCAATCGTCATATTTCGATATTGCGGAACCTAATTCATTTTCGTAACGTTGGCATTAGGTACTGCTTTGGTTTACATGACAGGTCGACCGTCGACGCCCTTCAGAGGCTAAAAAGCCTCACTGTGGAGGCTAGGGAGAGGGGTGAGGGTATGTTGGGTGTATCATTGGATATAGTCAACGCTTTCAATACCATCCCTCATTCCACCATACTCTAGGCACTTAAACATCACAGAGTGCCTCAGTACCTTCGAGCGCTGCTGGCCGATGACTTACGGGACCGCGAAGTCCGGTATGTTAACAGAGACGGCCAGCTCAAACGGCGCGGCGTAGCCAGCGGGGTTCCGCAGGGTTCGGTGCTCGGTCCACTCTTGTGGAACCTAGGCTTCAACTGACTATTCCGGGGCGTCCTTCTCGCGGGCATGAGTGTCATATGCTATGCGGATGACACTCTGGTCACTGCCTGGGGGAAGACATTTAGGGCCGCGGCACGGCTGGCGTCGGCGGGCGGCACATTAGTCGCTTGCAGTATACGACGCCTCGGCCTGAAAGTCGCGCTGTAGAAGACTGAGGCCCTCTTCTTTCCGGGGCCTCGCCAGCGCACCCCTCCCGACGCCCACATTGTAGTTGAGGACGTTAGGATTGACGTCAAAGGCCAGATGAAATAACTGGGCCTCACGATTGACGGGAGGTGGCATTTTAGCTCGCACTTCAACGGGCTAGCGCCATGCCTCCTCAAGACAGCCGGCGCACTGAGTTCTGGCTCCTCCCGAATTTGGGAGGGCCACAAACGAGGTGTCGTCGACTTTATGCCGGCGTTCTGAGGAGCATGGCGCTGTATGGCGCCCCAATCTGGGCGGAAGGAGGCGCAGGCCCCAACGCAGAAAGTCGCAAGGACCTACCACACCTGGCGTCTTGTCTGTCAACTATCACTGGATGGCAGACCAGAAGGCGCGTGGAAAGCGCCCGTCCCCGGAGCGGCGCGGCGCCGTCAGGCTGGAAGCGCGCGAGATCATGATCGACCGCTGGAAGGAAGACATGACTCGTGCGCAGTTTGGCCGCCGCACTCTGGACGCCATTGGTCCTGTTCTGGACTAATGGTTGGAACGGCCGCACGGGTTCCTCACGTTCCGTTTGGCGCAGGTTTCCGGGCATGGCTGCAATCTCCGCTGTGCCACAAATGCGGCGCGGCGGATGACACGGTGCAGCACACCCTCGCGGTCTGCACAGGCTGTGAGGAGCAGCGCCGTGTCCTCACTGCGGTCGTGGGCCGGGATCTTTCGCTTCCGAGCCTGGTCAACGCCATGCTGGGAAGTGAAGGATGCTGGATGGCGGTCGAATTCTTTCGCGAAGAGGTCATCCTTCAGAAGGAGGCAGCGGAGCGCGAGCGGGAGAACGATCCTCTCGCGTCATCGCTCCGCAGGCGGAGAAGGGTTGGAGAAGGCGGTTGTACGACCGTTCTACTCTGCCCCCAGGTGGCGGCCAGCAGGCCGGGGGTGCGGGGGCACCCTTGTCACCTTCGTCTGACGGGAACGGCTTGGCGTTTCGGGCCATTCCCGTCGGACTCCCTCAAGGGGGGCGTGTAGGGTCCGCCGTGTAGGCGAGCTGTCGCCGGTGGTGTCGCGGAAGTCTAAGGCTACGGCCGGATACTCGCGACACCCCCACTTGGGCGATGACGGAACGCCGCGGAGGTTTTAGTGGGTATACCTCGTCCTTTTCAGGACGGAGCAGCACCCTATTAGGCCTCAGCCTCGAACTTAGCGGGCAGCGGGGCGGCGGCGGCGGCGGCGCGGGAGCGGCTGGATCTTATGCGTAAAATCAAATAGACCGGTTCTCGAAAACAGCGGCGCGGCAGCGGGGCGGCAGCGGGCAACGAGCGGGCAGCGGCGAGGGAGCGGGCAACGAGCGGGCAGCGCACTCCTTCTTTTGCCCACAATAAATCGAGCGTTAGGAATAAATTTGAATCGAAATAAAATTGTCGCCGTTGTTCAGATACCTATTTCGTTTGCGAATAAAAACAAATATCTCGACAACACAACCCCGAACACAACACTTCGCCGCTAAAGCGCCGCGCGAGCTGCCCGCTTGTTTCGAGAACGGGTCTGCGTTGCCCGCCCCGCTCCAGCGCCGCCGCCGCTCCCGCCCCGCTGCCCGCTAAGTTCGAGGCTGCGGCCTTAGGGCGCCGGGAGTCCCACACACCACCTTGTCCCCCGGCAGTGGTGACGGTAAAGAGGGGCCCGAAGCGAGCTGTGCCTAGGGGCCCCGAGATGGTTAATCCGGCCCTGGCTAACCTGCATTAATTAGTGTTGCTAATTGGGTGGCTACCTCAGATCATCTATGATCTGAGGTGGCTACATTTTTGTGTGGTAGACACAATCAGAAAAGCTGTCTGAAACATTGCTATTACATTGCCTTTTTTCTGTGATGCTGATTTTGAGACGCATGCGGATCTGTAGACTTATTCACGTAACAAAACTTGAACGTCAACAAAACACTATGCGAAAGTTTGTATGGATGTTTGTTAATCTTTCACGCAAAAACTGCTGAAAGGATTTTGACGAAACTTTACAGTATTATCTGTGTATTATTATTGTTTATAACCCAAAATACTTAACATATTATAGGCTATAATTTATGACGATATTTTATGTGACAAACTAAATTTCGGGTGAAGCCGCGGGCAAAAGCTAGTTTCATACATATTTTTCTTCAGAAAAAGGCTTCCTCGTTGATAAAGAGTATTCAGTAAAACACAAAAAAAAATTCATTAAACTCATTTATTTTTATAAATAGGCTTTTAAAAAGTAGGTACCTTTACACATCCCAGTATCAACCCTACCACTGCTTCGGGACAGTAAATGGACCAGTGCTGAGAAGAAGCAGCGCAAGAAACTCAATAGTTTCTTCGTTAGTTACTTCTATGATCGTTACGTAGATAGTTTTAAAATCAGTTCCCTAAATAAATGTCTTTGGAAACCATATATTTTAATGAAGGGCAAGTAAACGGAATTTTAAACCTTGTTGTCATAAAATAAATCATCAAATGTTCAATGATAAACGGTTTAAATGTGGCAGTAACAATTAACTATAACCAACTGTTGGTTTGCGTAACTTACGTAGTTACTATTTTATCAAAAAAACTAGCGGCCGCTACTATAGTAATGTAGTACATCATATGTTTTTTTGACATTTTTCATTTTCTTATTTTAGAAGTTAGAGGGCCATCTTTTTTCCACTTTGGAAGCGTCTGTCACGCAAACTATTCGGTTTAGAAAAAAAATATTTTAGAATATATCATTTTTGAAGACCTATCCATAGATACCCCACACGTACTATGTGTTTGATGAAAAAAAAATTTTTGAGTTTCAGTTCTAAGTATGGGGAGCCCCCAATATTTATTAATATTTTTTTATTTTTGCATCAAAATCTTAATGAAGTTCACAGAATACATCTACTTACCAAGTTTCAACAGTATAGCTCTTATAGTTTCGGAAAAAAATGGCTGTGACATACGGACGGACAGACGAACGGACGGACAGACAGACATGACGAATCTATAAGGGTTCCGTTTTTTGCCATTTGGCTACGGAACCCTAAAAATCAGATTTAATGGTATAACGTTAGTAGAATTACAGTCTAGTAGAATAATACTGGGCGCAACACCCCGCTAATCCACGCTAAATTGTGTCAGTGTGTGCGTGCGCGCCGCATACGTATTGGCGCGCTCACATACAAACCGCACTCGGTGTGTTTCTATGAAGATGACCTACTCATTTGTATTTACTCTGGTTTTATCCACGAAGACGCGTCCCATTCTTCCCCTAATATTTGAGTATTATCAGTACACACTAAATCATCCATGAGTGCACACGCACACTACAATAATGACGCTCGGATTGCTCTCGGATCAAACTCCACGCGCCCCGCGCTTCCCTCGACCAAAATTTGGTGGGGTGCGTCTTCGTGGATGAAACGATCTGTAGATACAATTTTAAACCCTAGTTCAAAATAAAAAAATAGGAATTTTCAAACTGTAGTTTAATGCTTATAGAAGTACAAAAACTTAAAATAAGGAATGATGTTAACTTGACTTTTTAAGTAAGCACAGACCGCTTTCGCTAGCTTCTCTTTCGAACTGTTGAAGTTTGCACTATCCTCGAAGGTGTCTGCCATTTCCAGAAAAGATTGTGCCAATACGTCATCAGGGTTGTCATTCAGGAAATGTCTGGAAATACATTTTGTATTTTAAACACAGCAATAAGGATAAACATACTTATATACTTTTTTTTTGTAAATACATACATATTATATATAGAAAACACCCAGACCCGTCACAGAAATTAAAATTCATCATTTCAATTTCTGCCCGGCCGGGAATCGAACCCGGGACCTCTCGGCATAGTAGTCCGTTCTGAACCACTACACCAAACGGCCGACTATACTATACTAGACTAGACTATACCGAATAGTTACTAACCTTAAACAATCGATGATATAATTGAAATGCTCTAAGAAGCAGGAGCATGGCCCAAACTGCACTAGCAAGGGCGTGTTTGGTATGGAATTGTCCAGAAAGGGCCTTGGAGGCTGGTCAGAGTCCGTAGTTAAAGTTGAAGAAGGCCCAGGGGAATCCCCTACAGGGTTCTTCAAATAAAGTTTCCTTATCAACGTGGAAGTCGCCACTGGCATTTGTTTGATGACATCCATTTCATCAGTGCGCCTGTTTAGCTCTTCATGGACTCTGTTAAACATTTTATTGAGCTGAAAAATCTGAATAAAGGGTCTGACTTACATAAGCGGTACCCCGACGCGACATTATAGCGCCATTATTATTTGTTACTTTTTAGAGTTTTTTTTTGTGTAGGGGATTTTTATATTTTTTAATTTAATTTTTTTAACAATATTTGTCAATTTTGTCGCGTACTTTACCTGTCTATTGCCACCTCTCTCCTGACTTCGGTCATGATGGACTCGAGATCGTGAGTTGAGGCCAGCTCATTGATTTTCTTACACAGAGATTGGATGAACCAGGACCCTTCGAGTTCGTCCCTGCAATTGCATTTGACAATATTTTACAATAATAAAAAAACCTTTTATAAAATATTTAAAACAATGTTTCATTTTTTTTATCCACAACGAGGAAGCTCTTGGCCTGTATCTCACCTGATGGTAAGTGATGATCAGGCCGAAGGTGGAAGTGAGCTTCACCCGGAATCCTCAACCACGGAGGAACTGGCTATCTTACCTCTAACTGCCGGAACACAACAATGCTGTTAACATTGTTGTTATGGCGACAGACTTAGGTAAGATGGTGGTTGCTAGTCAAGTGGACTTCGAACAAGCCCTACCACCAACCAAACCAAACAGAATCATCATCATCAGAACAGAAAAATCTGCCCCCACTGGGAATCGAGTCCGGGGCCTCTGCGTCTGAAGCAGATGGTCTTACACGGAATAATAATAACTAGACCACAGAGGCGGTAATGTTTCATAATTCTAAGAATTAAGTTCGGATAGGTATTTTCAGTTCAGAGGAGGTGCGCTTCATTTTTCTGATCTAAAATTCACTGGGGCAGAAAAGTTCTCGAGTGGCAACCACGGGCCGGAAGACGTAGCGTGGGCAGGCCTACTAGGTGGACCGAAGATCTGGTGAAGGTTGCAGAGAGTACCTGGATACGGGCAGTGCAGGACCGGTCGTCAGTAGCGGCGTAAGGGGGTGGCGGTGGGGGCAGTCCGCCCCGGGTGCCAAGGGGGGTGACACAAGTCACGCAGATTAGTACTCACTGACACATCTGCACGGAAAATCTGCGGTCTATGTCATGATACGATTGACTTTCAATCTTCGAATCGGTAGGTAACCCCAAAATCCTGGGGGGTNCAGATTAGTACTCACTGACACATCTGCACGGAAAATCTGCGGTCTATGTCATGATACGATTGACTTTCAATCTTCGAATCGGTAGGTAACCCCAAAATCCTGGGGGGTACCAGGGGGTGCCTTAGGACTTGGGGGGGGGGAGGGTGATCGCTCCGGGTGCCAACCCATGCTACGCCGCCACTGCTGGTCGTTATGGATCCTTTGGGGGGCTTTGCAGTAGACGTCATTCGGCTGAAACGAACTTACCTGACAGAAGGTTTCCCAATGTAAGAGCTGTGGAGTACCAGCATGTCAGATTCCACTGGCAACGTGTAGGGCTCCTCCTCATCCAAGTCCTTCATGATTTGACCCTGGGCTCTGCGGACAGTGGTACCCTGCATACTTCCATAGCCCCGGCAGGCCTGCAAAATGGCGGATTAAATTCCTAATTAATTCCTAATTAAATAATTATTAAACCTTTGTTAATTTTGTTATTAACATTTAATCATATTAACAACAAAGATCCTTACTAATTGTTACGTTCCGATTCTTGTATTTCGTAACAGTTTTTGTATGGTGAGCAATAGGTAGGTACCTATTGCTAGCGCACTCGCTACACAAGCTTAAATTTTTGGCGGTTGGCATCAGCTGATATAGAATAGAATTGCGTAGGTATGCTGCCACCTCAAAATACAAGTTACACAGTTAACATTATAGAATCTAAATATGTATAACTCAAAGGTGACTGACTGACTGACTGACATAGTGATCTATCAATGCACAGCCCAAACCACTAGACGAATCGGGCTTTTGGCATGCAGGTAGATGTCATGACGTAGGCATCCGCTAAGAAAGGATTTATTTACGAAGTCGCGGGCGGCCGCTAGTTACTCATCTACACTAATTAATAAAAGAGGAAAATTTGTTTGTTTGTTTGGTTGTAATGAATAGGCTCAAAAACTACTGAACCGTTTTTAAAAATTCTTTCACCATTCGAAAGCTACATTATCCACGAGTAACATAGGCTAAACTTTATTTTGGAAAAAAATAGGGTTCCGTAAAATACGTAGATAGTGTAGTACACGCGCACGAAGCCGCGGGCGGAAAGCTAGTAAACAGATATTTAGTAAGAGTACCTAACTACAACCCGGTCGAGTTAACTGCGCACCTCGTGACGGAACCGGACGGACCGGAATGTGACTCTCCCTCGTACACCTCCGCGTTCGTCCCGTGCGTATCAGAGGGCCTCAGTAGCGGCGTAAGGGGGGGGCGGTGGGGGCGGTCCGCCCCGGGTGCCAAGCATCAGGGGGTGACACAAGTCACGCAGATTGGTACTCTGTTGCACATCTGCATGGCAAATGCGGTCTATATCATGATACGGGGGGGTGCGATTGTCTTTCAATCTTCGAATCGGTAGGTCCCCCACTACATCGGTAACCCCAAAATCCAGGGGGTGCCTTAGGACTTATGACGGGGGGGGGGGGGGGGGGGG